AGTATATATATATATAATGTATGTGTGTGTGTGCGTGTGTATATACACATACACATATACATACGTACATATATACATACGTACATATATACATATATATATATATAATATACATAACAGTTGTGAATTCATAATCCCAATCTACTTCATATAGACGCACACTTACGATGACATGAAAAAAGTTTATCCATCTCGGGGCCTATATTTGCATTGTTTCAAACGTACAAAGCTGTTCACTGCATGTCCAAGATTGCAACGTTGTACTTCCTAACTAGTACTGTACTTCCTAATAGCCCATGAATACTATCCGGTGCAACAAAAGCAACTGATTGGTGCAGAAAAGAACAAAGGTACACATAGATTAAAACGCACTAGTCGCATACAGTGTGGGAGCATTGCACACGAACGTTGACTCAGATCAATGTAGTGCGTGTGTGGACAGCCCGCTCCATAGAGATTACGCGTAGGACATACAAGATATCGATGGCCCCGGTGTTGGTATATATAGCGAACCGGCAACAACTCTACAGACACGCACTACTGCCAAGGCAATTGATATACCTACCTGTTGCGAAGGAATATGACTCCCGAATTCAATTGACCGCCGCGCTTCATCCAATCTTTCGTGCACACAAAGTCATAGTCGTCGGTATCGGCCAGCAGATGTTCCACGCGCTGGTTGGCGTTGGTGACAACCACATCGGAATCCGTCCACCACATCTGTGGCATTTTTCAAGTTGAACATTGAGTAAGTACATGTTTGTGGGGGCAGGGCTATGGGCTTGATGTTTGTTGTGGTACTGTTTTTCAGACACGTCATCATTGCTTCATCCTAGAGTGACTGCCACCCGTCCCAATTCGGTCTGGCCTGTAATGCCCGTGAACACGTTCTCCATGTTATTGTAGGCCGAATGAGATGCAGCGAATACAAACTGATTCGCTCATACGTGCATGTGGCATATAGGATCGCCAACTCAAGCTCAGCATATACTCGTGCAGGTACATGAGAATGCTGAATATGTTTATACACGTGTAGTTTGCGCTTTATACATTATCCGTCGTGTGCTTGAATGCGCACATACTCGTTTGTACCTATGAAAACACTGCTCCGAAGATGCTAAACGCAAATCAACCCATTCCTCATTCCTACCAGACCATCGCTAAATCACCTATCCAGTACTGATCGTGAAGTGCCAGATGTATACCTACTCACTCATATCTATGAAGATAATAGCTAACCACCCCTCGCCCATTCAAACTCAGACATGACAGATGCCAATGGTGCACTTCTTTGATCAGGTCTATAAATAGTAACATAAAAGCTTAACCACTACCTCATCCATACTTATGAATATGCTAATTGCCCGTGATGCACGTTTTCACGCCATATCAACAGAGCCACTACACAATCACCCACCTACCCATTCATGCTTGTGGAGATGCTTGACATACGCCTCAGTGCGTGTGGCGGCCTTTGTGGCCCACAACGTCTTGTTCACGGCCATGCGGTCTTCGTTGTATAGCGCATACCCATGGATCTGGCAGTACCGTTCCTTGTTCGACTGCGTCATGGTTGCCATCTCCGAGTACAAGGAGTCGTAGTCGGGTGCTGATAAGACCAAGAGAGCGATCCTCTTGACCTCCGCGTCGGTCTTACCGTGGTGCAGAGCACGCTGTTGCGTGAACCTAAGGTAGTTTAATATGCCGCATTAGTGTTTGGTTCGTCGAGGCTGTGGTGATGGAAGTTGTTGATGATTCGAGGTTTCTGGAGTGAACTCGCACATATAACTTTTATAAGGACTTGGGAAAACAGGTCTGTGTCTCGGTGTATGGGCTGAAACCCTGAAACGCGGTTACTTCTGGAAAGCATCAATACCTGCGATGGAACGCAAAAACGAAAATATAAATGACTGGACGACGCGAACTCGTGCGAGTGCAGCCCTGAATACGGAAAGCGATACTCACTCAGACACTACTCTGTGCATGGTGCGTGTTCAACAGACATTACTCTGTGCATGGCGAGTGTTCAACAGACACTACTCTGTGCATGGTGAGTGTCCCAAAAATAAAAGTGGACAGGTCAAGTAATCACTTCAACACACCGCACACTGCGCCACGTCAGCTCTCTACCAAACTACACCCGCGATTTCTAAACCATAACATCACATACTCCATGCCGTCAGATCCCTCGACCTCGTAGCAGACAAACGCCATGTCCTGGTAGATGGTAATGCTCCAAGCAACAGAACATGGTTCGCCTTCGATGGTTTTGGTAGCGGCCGAAATACTTATGGGTGCACTTATGGGGTCTAAAACAGCCGTGTTCCCCTGACAATTGCAATAACATGCCTGTACCACAAAACAAAATATAAATAAAAGTTGGGTTATCTACTATGTAATACATCTTTTCTTCGGCCAGTATGCGTCACAAACTAATTTGTGTCGATATAAATGCTAAAAACAATCGAAAAATGGCCGGGATAAGCCCGACAATAGCACGCAAACATATATATATGTGTGTCCAAATTACCTACACATACACATGTGCTACGCT